TGTTATATCATTTTGAATACTATGGGATATAACTTTTTGAAGGCTTTGGATAATAATAGTTATACATTAGTTTTTTAGATATATCTAATCTAACCATCAGCAAATAAACAATATTGAATTTGATAATAATAATCATATTGATTTTTTGGAGGGAGTAAGCCTTCTATCCTTTTTTTATGGAGCCATAGAAGAGAAAAAATTTCAAAGTTCACATCTTAAGAGAAGTTATCAATTCCTAATATAACTTTTGAGAAAGAAAAGCAATTGGCCAAAGGGTTGATGTTATAAAGCAGTTTTTGTAAAAGAAAGTAAGATCTATAAAAGAAAACCTTCAAAAAAAAGGAAAAACCTAGCTTTGACAAGAAAAAAAAAAATAAAAAATAAAAAAGATGAAAAAGAAAGTAAAAAAAAAAAATGTTTTGAAAAGAGAAAGAAAAAACCAAGGGAAGAAAATAAAAAGATATAGGGAAGAAAAAAAAGAGTAAAAAAAAATTAAACAACTCAAAATTTCCTAAAAAAGAAATTTTTAAGTACAGAAGAAGAGTGGAAAAGAGTTTTTACTTGCTTTATATTTTTTTATAATTTTTTATAAATTAAATTAATTTTAGTTTACTCTATATAAGAATAATTAATACATTTGCAATCACATATATATATACAGTATATATTTGGATAATTATTTTTGAAGGTGACAAAAATGCTAGGTATGATTTTTTTCGGATCCAGCTTTTAAACAATACGTATATAATATAAATTTTAGGATCACATCAGAAAATTTCCGGTTCACCTTCAAAAATAATTACCCATTTGAAAAAAACAATAATTATAAAATAAATTAATTTTATAATATAACAAAATAATAAATAAAGTCCAAAAATAAAAATCAATAAAATAAAATATAAAAATCTTTTAATTATTAATTTTGTAAAAATTTTAATAAAAATTATAAAAATTAATAAATCCAATGTAATTAATCTAATTAATTTTTTAAAATTTGGTTAAAAAGATAAATATTTTGAATTTTCAATAATAAATATACCATTCATTACTAATTAGTTAAATATTTGATTTAACAAGTTTTTTCTTAATATTAATGTCGAGGTCGCTGATCTGACATAAATCCTGTGTAAAAGTTTTTATTTATGTTAAAATTTCAGCTAGCTCTATACTAAAATATACTTGATTCCAAAGAATAAATCTCAACTCCACCCTCTCCTCTAATCTACCTCTACTTTATCTGTATCAATTACAGTATATCTAATCTTTTTTATTCTCTATCGGACGTGTCTCTGTGACGAACAATGAGATCTTTGTCACATGAAACGCGCCTGCATAAACTAATAATGAACATTCTATTCAAAACGGTCAGATACATACAATCAAATCGCGGTTTTCGAACGTTAATTAACAATTGGTCTCAAGATGAATTCAATCTGGTAAATGAGAAGAATTTATTATATGCTAAAATTATTTTCAGACAAATTCACAAATGTAGAAAATTTATTTATACGATGAATAACAAGCATACTGTATATCATGCGATATAATTAGATACAATCGATACTCGCCTGACTTCTGTTGATCCCCAAAAACCTTGTTTAACCTCTTTGCCTTCGGAGTTCTAGATAAAGGGATTTTCAAACCGCATGATTATTTACGGAATATAAGGGTATAGTACATATTCCTTGGAGGTAAATGATTGTCCGGATTGAGAATGATTCAACTAATTAAAGAAGTTTCCTCACGCCAAGACGTTAGGAGTTATTTATAGATGTTGGCTTTTCAAAAAATGACTACGTAATAGTTTAGAACAACAATCACGAAAAGTCTCGTTATTCGCATGTGTGCCTTTGCTTGTGTAATAAAGATCCGGGTTCACATTCAAACGAAATGGAATCACCATTTAAAACTTTACATTTACTTTTAAATACGTGACTTATATTATATTATGCAAATCAATAAAACAACGTATATATATAGTCTTGAGTTAGTAGCATTGCAATTTTTCTTTAACGCGGAATTTTTTTTTCCTCGTTTCAGTTCAAGTCCACACAGTAGTTACCTATCTACTTATATGAAAAGTCTCAGTATTTACATTCAGTTTTTTGTCTTTTTACTAACGACCACCCTCAACGTTCTTGAATAAAACTTAAGTTCATATAATCAAACGTCAACCAATGATTAACACTACCTTTATCGTAATTACCCTACTCGCGGTCACTATAATATTCTTGTCGCTGACCGTTCTCATTGTGATCCTCGTTCGACGTCGACGTAATCGTAATCGTGTTTCCGATAAAAATTGAAAACCTCTCACCTTAACACCAAGGGTATCCTTGATCAGACACAACAGGAGCGTGAGTGAAGTTAGCTTTAAAGAAAAGAATCGTAGAGGTACTAGTTTAACTAGGACGCATAGTATACGAAAGAGTGACGCTAAAAGATTCAGTTTCCCATCAACTACTGCTTCGTCACCCACGAATCCGGGAAATGGTGGTCAACTAGATACGTCCGTGACAATACCAGCGGAATTGGTCAAACCAATTACAAGAACTTATCAGTTGAAGAATGAAAATCGTCAACTTGTATACGCCACTAATTTCACGAACGAACCATTATCACTAACGACGACCACAACGCACGGAGAGGAGAATGTGTAATTTTATGACATACTAATTTTTTCACTTTGCAAGATAAAATCATTGTTATTTATTCCTCGTTTTCAATAATTGTATTTATTAGTGTATTGTTATTATTTCACCTTGTTGATTTTGTATTTATAGAAAGTTTGTGTACATACTAATAAATATTCGAGTAGATCGAAACATTAACCCACAGAAGTTCTCCCTTGAAATTGAATCCAATATGAATAAATAAAGTTAGTCTTTACTATGCATATCGTATCTCATATAGGTTCAAGTCCCAAAGTTAGGCCAAAGCCTGACCCTCTGTCAAATATTTGAGCAAGATATTTCTGGCACCGTTCGTGTCCCTATCCATCTCCACT